GATATATTGATTTTGTTCCATATTGATTTTCTATTATAAAATGTACTAAAAAGTATACTTTGGGTATACATAACAATCAGCACATTCTGCAAATTGATTAGTTTGCTTAAGAATTTGGAAAAAAATAATTAAAAAATTTTTTGGTGCAAAAATTGTGCGGCAACGTAATAGTACCGCTTTTTTCAATCTTTACCTTCGCCACTACCGTACACCTTATTGAAGGACGCTTATTCATCTTTCAGACTCCAAACATCTGCCACCTCAACCTATTGAGAAAGAGCATCATCAGCAAGAGGTGCATCATCATCCCGAGCTTATGGACGAATCGACGTCGACGGAAGATCTGGCGGATTTCCTCGTGGACGTCATGCTCGTCGATGGGCGGACCGATGCGAACGCCAACTATAAAAGGGAAGTACAGGATCGCTCGACCACTACTTCACCGTCTCTTGATATTCCGAAGCAAGAAATCGTTGTGAAGCAAATGCAGGACCAGGCCACGTCTACATCCCTTTCGCCATCGAATTCGCCGCAACCGCCAACGGTGGTGCTGGAAGATGCACCCGAAACCGATGTTTCGCTGCCGGATTTCAATCAGTAGGTTTTTTTCGCTTTCAAAAGTTCATTTACCCTGTAATTCGCACAATCTCTTCATCGAAGGCGGTGTTCACGCAAATGTGGCATTTGTGACCAAGAAAATCCCAGTAGACCGATCAGCGCCTTTGAGTACGGTAATTCGATAGAGCGTACGATCTGGGCATGAGCTTAAAGCTACGTTTCTTGCTCACAAATAGCTTTTAGTAGATGCCATGTGGGCAATGGCCTAGTTGAAGCTTCCTCAATTTCTACAAAAGAAACTACACTCAAATTATCTGGGCGCTGCCTTTAAATTCGAAGTTCCTAATCTTCTCTTGTTCGGACCTTCGTATTCCAAAATTTTCCCTTAAATCTTCCATCGACGGTTTTGTTAAGTCAAATGTGGCACTTCTGGCGAAGAAAACCAATTTAAGCCGTTCAGACTACGAAATTCTCTAGCAGACCAATCAGCATTCTCAAGTACTGTAGACACTAGAAAGTACGGTCTGGGCATGAATTCAAAGTTTTGTTTTTTGCTCACAAATGGTTTTTAGAAGACCCCATCCGAATAATGGTTTGGTTAAAGTCCCTCAAATAGTTTCCACCAAAAAACCCCAGGTT